TATAAAACACCAGAAATCAGATCCTACAATTTGTGTAGAAAGAAGGGGAATAAGAATTTACATCCCTATTTGCTTATTTACACATAAAAAAAAATTGGGAAGATACACAGAAATCTAATAATAGTGACTAACTGTGAAAAGGGGATGAGAAAATGGTGGAAATGGAGGGGGAGTTTTCACTTTACCTTCGATACTTTCTGATTTTTGAACCAAGTAAATGTATCGTTTATTCAAAAATTGAACTGAAAAATTATATTAGAAGCTAAAGATACCTTCAGTATCCACACCTGTTGCCTCGTGAGGAACCCTGGAGAGTTGCCAAGCCACTTGCCCTGTGGTTCTAGAGCCTCAGCTACTGGCTCAGTGGGGCTGGTTTGTCTGGTTAGAGCTATGACACCTTATGCTTAACAGGCACCAAAGAAGTAAGGCCGAGAGTTTAATATTCTCAGTGTCCCTAAATTCCTGTGGATTTATTCAGATCCTATCATTTCACGTGCTTGTTCTGATTCCCTCTTCTCTACCTTTCCTTTCGGTTCTCAAATAATGTCTTTTGCTTTAAGCAACCACCCTGGGGTCAGGGCACTACAGGAAGATACAATCAGACAGATCTGCAGACAGAATGACAGACGCCTGGGGTTAAATGTAAGCTCTTTTGCTCTTCTCTTCCTCCCCTTGCCCAGAGGCACCCCGCCAACACACACATTGCCACCTCCCACCACCACAGTAACCTTCAACTCTAAGGCACACTCACACAGTCTAAGCCCGTGGGGCAAGCCTACCGCTGCTGGCTGCCAGGAACCTAGGCATGCGCACTGGAGACCCCTGTCCCCCTCAAATCCAGTACTGTACCCTCTCCTCTCAGTGAACCCTCTGGGTGACTCAGGACTGCTCTGCTGCCATCACCTTTTGACCTCCTATCAGTCCAAATGTCCTTTTTTTTTTTTTTTTTTTGAGACAGAGTCTCACTTTGTTGCCCAGGCTAGAGTGAGTGCCGTGGCATCAGCCTAGCTCACAGCAACCTCAAACTCCTGGGCTCAAGCAATCCTCCTGCCTCAGCCTCCCGAGTAGCTGGGACTACAGGCATGCGCCACCGTGCCCGGCTTATTTTTTCTGTATATATTAGTTGGCCAATTAATTTCTTTCTATTTATAGTAGAGACGGGGTCTCACCCTTGCTCAGGCTGGTTTCGAACTCCCGACCTCGAGCAATACGCCCGCCTCGGCCTCCCAAAATGCTAGGATTACAGGCGTGAGCCACCGCGCCTGGCCCAAATGTCCTTTTTTAAGACACAAAATAAACAACCTTGCCTTGCCCTCACAGCTCCTCACTTTTCTTCATCCTCTTCTTACCCCACACAAATGAACTCCACAGCTAATTGTCGGAACCAGCCACTTGCTGTTTCCAGTAAGCGATGCTGGTGCAGGCCTCTGGGCCTTCGCTCAAGCAGGTCCCTCTACCTGAAACATTCTCTCACCCCACCTGCCTACCTGGAAAACTCCTAGGTAGCCTTTCAGAAAAAGCACAGTTCTCACGCCTGTAATCCTAGCACTCTGGGAGGCCGAGGCAGGCGGAATGCTTAAGGTCTGGAGTTCGAAACCAGCCTGAGCAACATCGAGACCCCGTCTCTACTATAAATAGAAAGAAATTAATTGGCCAACTAATATATAGAGAAAAAATTAGCAGGGCATGGTGGCACATGTCTGTAGTCCCAGCTACTCGGGAGGCTGAGGCAGCAGGATTGCTTGAGCCCAGGAGTTTGAGGTTGCTGTGAGTTAGGCTGACACCACTGCACTCACTCTAGCCTGGGCAACAAAGCGAGACTCTGGCTCAAAAAAAAAACCAAAAGCACAGTTCAAGGGTTACTACCTATGAAGATGTCCCCTCCCCTTACCCCAGGGGACCTGACTACTTCTCTGCTGCACTCCCCACCCCCTGCATGCCATCATCTTCCCGGGAACACTTTATCATGCTCATCTGTTAATATGTCTGTCTCCTCCTAGACAAAGTGCCCCTCTGGGGAAGCTGGATCTTACCGATCTTGCTATCTCCAGTGCCTGACACAGAATTTTGTAAACAGTAAGAGTTGGTTAAGTATTTGTAGAATGAATGAATGAATGATCGTGATGGTTTGGTATGTAGAAAAAAGATTAGTCCGAGTGACTTTGGGTGTAGAATCTAGATAAAATCCCTGCTTTGCTGTATCTGAGGGCTTCACAAAGCCCAGCTTCAAAACGATCCTTAAGTGCCAGTTTAAAAGGACCGTTTTCAAATCAAGGAAGAAGAAGTAGAAATGAGGGAAAGAGAGGGCAGTCGGGCTAGGCTGCCAGCAGACCATGCAGGGAGAGGCCAGGATGCCCAACAGACAGGTGTTAAGATAAACAGACACTGTAACTAGGCTACTGGTAATTGGCATCTGTGTTTACAACTTGCACCCCAACAAGCCTCACACCATATCAAGTCGTCACGCTGTCATGGTGGGCTGAAGGGTTAATTTTGATGACTCAGTGCCGGGCAGAGGGAGGGAGGAAAGGAGGTCTGAGAAGGAAGGGTGATGGCAGAGGATGAGAGGAGCTGAGGACACTGAGAGGGCCTTCGTGGGGAGACAGGAAAATGATGGGGACCCTGAAATTAATGACAATAAGGAGAAAGAGAGGGGGGTGAGTCTGTGAAGGCTGGAAAGGAAGGCAAGGTAGGAAGGGAGGCCTTCAGCGGGCCCTACGCTTTCAGCATCCAAATCAAGCTCAGCTCAGGCCCCTGGCCCCTGGGCTTCCCTCTGAATGCCTCCCTCAGCCACAAGGACCTGGTTCCCAAAACCGCAGCCCACTGCTTCCCAACTCCCTGCCTGCCCTGAGCTGTTTCCACTGCCTCATGGAGCTAATTTTAACACTCTTCAACACTCAGTCAAGAGTAATCTCACCCCAGGAGTCCTCCCTGACCCCACAGCTCTCCTCTGCCCCCTCAGCACAGAAGCACCAAGCGCAGCTGGCTCAGCCCCCACCTTTCCTGAGCTCCCTGCTCGTTGACTCTGAGGAGTCTCTCTCCTTTCAGATAATGAGCTTCCGGCAGGCACAAATTCTGACTTATATCTCCAGTGTCTAGTTCAGAGCTGGCCCATGAAACACACTCCATAAATATATGCTAAAAAGAGTTGCAGCAGAGGAATTCTCACTTAATTTTTCAATTACAAATAAAATCCAGGACAATTTCCTTCCCAGCATATTTAAGAATACTGCTATTTTTCGAACTCCTGACCTTGAGCGATCCCCCCCTCCCCCGCCTAGGCCTCCCAGAGTGCCAGGATTACAGGCGGGAGCCATCACACCCGGCCTAGAATACTGATATTTTTAAATCATGAAAACACATGTTCTGACTCTACCCTGGGGGCTCCAGGATATGGTTTTTCACTTTTTTTTTTTTTATGGTTTTTCACTTTTTTAACTGGACCCAGTGGGTTCCTACAAGTTGGGGCCATATAGAGTTACCAGAGGGAATCCAGCCTGCATGGGTTCAGCTGTCACCTATGGGTTCCATATAACCTTGCACAAGTTCCTCTCATTTCTCTGTGGCTCAGTTGCACCACCTGTAAAATGAGAACAATAATAATACCAGCATCAACAGGGCTGTTTTGTGGACTAAAAGAGTTAATGAGGCTGCGGAAACAGCCCAAGTGCCCATCAATCCAAGAATGGATTAATAAAATGTGGTATATGTATACCATGGAGTACTATTCAGCTCTAAGAAACAACGGTGACATAGCACATCTTATATTTTCCTGGTTAGAGCTGGAACCCATACTATTAAGTGAAGTTTCCCAAGAATGGAAAAACAAGCACCACATATACTCACCAGCAAATTGATATTAATTGAGCAGCACCTAAGTGGACACATAGGTACTGCAGTAATAGGGTATTGGGCAGGTGGGAGGGGGGAGCGGGCGGGTATATACATACATAATGAGTGAGATGTGCACCATCTGGGGGATGGTCATGCTGGAGACTCAGACTTGTGGGGGAAGGGGGGGAAAAGGCATTTATTGATACCTTAAAATCTGTACCCCCATAATATGCCGGAAAAAAAAAAAAGTCAATGATGTAAAGGGCGTAGAAGACTGTGTATAGCACTCAGCAAGCTCGCTACGCCTAACGTATCATTATGAGACGTGTGCCCTCTGTCAGTAGGACACCTGTATTATTCATCCAGCAGAAGCCGGAGCCCTTCCAAGCGCGAGCCTCAGGGTCCCCTCGCAGGGGAGCGCGCGCCCCGCCCGCGCTCCCTTCTGATCCCGAACTGAGAACAGGCAGAACACTCCGAAAGGGACACAGCTCTCCGCATTGAAAGGCTTCCTCAGGCCCAGCTCCTGCAAGGTGTGGTCTGCACCAGCACCTTCTGCGTCACCTGGGAGCTCGCGAGAAACGCAGATTCAGATGTTTCCGCGGGGGTGGGGGGCGATCGCCCGCCCCAGTCCTCGGAAGGCCCTCCGCCAGCCGGAGCCGAATCTCGGGCGTGCCCCACAGCGCCGACGCCGAGGGATGCGGGCGGCGGCCGGCGTCCCGCGGGAGCTTGTTGAGGGACTGACATGCTTGCCACGCCCACGCCATTGGCCCGGCGGGGGTGGTGGTGACAACATCCAGGTTACCCAAGTGACCGGCCACCCGGGATCCCAGCGCCACCCAGCGGCCCCAAATAGGACCTGCCGTTTCCCGGCTGAGGGGTCGCCCGCCGTCGGGCACCAAGCAGTGAAGGAACCGGGTCCCCTGAGGCCGCTCGCTCCTTCAACACCCACTGGAGCAGTCTGACCCTAAGCAGCTCCTGCCACTTGCCCAGAGACGACGCTTCCCAGGGGATTCGGCAGCAGCACCTGGACCTCCGAAGACCGACACTAGCACCTGGAGGAGGGAGTTTTGCAGCCCCTCTCAGTTCCCCTCCGAGCCACTAGGAGACACTAGCTATCAATTTCTTCCCCAGTTTACTCTTCGCGTTCAAACTCCGCGCCCCTCTCGCTCCAAGAGACATTGGTCTCGCGAGATCTCTCGTAAACGTACAGAACCGGAAGTAGCGTGTAACTCTCTTCCCTTTTGCGGCCATCGCCGGAGTGCCAGCGGGTGAGAATTTGCTGGGGAAGTGCGTGTAATCCGCAGCCATCCGTTCTTGGGCACGGTGGCTGCTGACCTCGGAGGCTCTGATCCTCTCCTGCCGGCCGAATGGCAGCCAGGGAGGGAGACTGGGGTTGTTTTGACCTCTTTTCTCCGCAACTCAGGGGCCGCCGGACAGGAGATGGACGGAGGGGCAGGGGATTTGGGGACTCGGAAACAAGAGCTGAGGGGAGGGATCCTGTGGAGGTAGAGTCAAGTCCAGGCAGTGTTGTTTCCTAGAGAGTGGTTTCCTAAAGTAACTGTTTTCGGTAAAGCGTTCACGGAACTTCCAGATTGCTCTCTCCCATTGGAAAGTTTATTGAACCCGAGATGGGTGCAAAATTTTCCAGGTTTGAGATAGGGGGGCCTGACTCATTTATTTTTGGAGGAGCTAAATGTTTTCAGATTCAACTCCGTAGAGGTGAACATTGGTTGCTCCTTCTAAAATGAGAATTGAGTTGTCGGTCTGCTTTGCCTTACTAGAGCAGAGATATTTACAAGTCCAGTCTTGACTCCCTCGCGCAGTACTTACGGAGTTTGGAGAGTGTAAACAAATTTTATAACTAAAACAAGTGTGTTATTAATGGAAAAACTCTTCATCGCGTGAACACTTATGGAAAACATCCCAGTAATGCAAATAGAGTTTCAAGCTTCATAGCCCATTCAGATCAAGCAAGTTTTGGATGGAGTTACCGAACATGGCAGTTTCTGTGAGCACTCTAAAGTACCAAGATGAAGTTATTGCTGTTATTTATTTGCAAACTGAGTGAGATGTTGGTCATTTAAGAGTTTCTAACTTTTTATCTAGCCAAAATGAAGTTCAATCCCTTTGTGACTTCGGACCGAAGCAAGAACCGGAAAAGGCATTTCAATGCACCTTCCCATGTTCGCAGGAAGATTATGTCTTCCCCTCTTTCCAAAGAGCTGAGACAGAAATACAATGTTCGATCCATGCCCATCCGAAAGGATGATGAAGTTCAGGTATGTAGCCCTACTTGTTCACTTTCTCTTAATGGATATACCACACACTTAGCTTAGAAGAGGGATTGTATTCTGAGAGAGATGTTTCCAGACTTTTCGTCCCAGAATAAAACTGCATGACACGTTGAGCCACGGACCCAAAAACCCCAAAAGTATGCTGCTTTTCAGTACTTTGGTGAAAATCAATTCTCGCAGACATCAGATGCATAATTAAGTGACAGAGTAAGAGAACTGGAGCATTACTTTGGGATTATCCTGTTCATATTATGTTTGGTCACTGAAGAGGCATTTAAGGCCTGGTAGACAGTATTGCTCAGAATCTAGATTGAGAAGGTCTAACTGAAGCATAATTTCATATGATTAAGTTTACCAGTAAAGAATTTGACAAATTTATTTAAGTGAAAATTTCTATAATAATTCTTAGGTGTTATCTGCAGCTAGCGATTAAAGAATTCAGGCAGTTTCTGAAGCCACTTGCACATCAATATTGTTTCATGAGTGAAACATTGTTTCATAAAGTGAAACCAGTTCTCCAATAAGAGCAGCATGGGTCCCTGCTGTTGTGCTAAAACTTGCTAGTAGATTTTGAAGGCAATCTCTATTTTCAGTATATAGCAATGCAAGAAAGTCAGAAACTGGAAAGAAATGCCTATTCAGAAGCACTTTGGGTTGCTTCCTGACAAGCTGAGGGCCACTGGATTCCTGGGTAGGAAACTGTTAACCTCTGGGGAAGAACTGGTTTATTCCCTTAAGCATTTGTTGCTGTCCACTTTGGCACTGGGTTGAGCACTTTAATGGGTTGTAAATTAAATGTGAGTGGTCTGTTGCTGCTTTTGAGATAGAGTAATAAGTTTCTCATTGTCAGTTTCCTACAGAATGCCAAGTGGGCTCTAATTAACCCTTTAACAAGCTTGCCATTTGCTGGTGGGCCATCATTTGTAAGGGTACATTGTACATCATTGTAGATACATGGGGCCATAGTTCATTTACAGGTTAAAGCCAGGGATGGAATTATTGACACATTTGCCTTAATGATGAAGTCTTTCGAAATTGAAATATCCTGTAGCGCTAATGATAGAGTGAATGGTGGGTGCGTGATTCACAGTTTTTCAGATTTGCAAGGTTAATTTTGGGTTTTTTTGTTTTCTTTTTTTTTACCAAGACTCATGTAAGTATGCTGATAAATTTTGTTCTTTTATCTGAATGTTTCTTATTTTTGAATTTGCATTTAGGTGGTTCGGGGACACTATAAGGGTCAGCAAATTGGCAAAGTAGTCCAGGTTTACAGGAAGAAATATGTCATCTACATTGAACGAGTGCAGCGGGAAAAGGCCAATGGCACAACTGTCCACGTGGGCATTCACCCCAGCAAGGTAGGTATTTTTGAAAATGCTTGAGACAAGAAGGAAATTGTAGCAGTTATTGTTGATAGATGTGATTTGTTGTTTACAGAACAATCTCATAGAAATAGTTCCCAGTTTTAGATGTGCCGGAAACCATGTCTTAAAGTAAATATTACTTGTTTGTATTGAAAATTCTAATACCACTTGACACATTTCCGAAATAAATGTGTTTAACGGTCATTCTGTATGTATATTTAATATACCTTTTCCTCAAAAGTTGTTAGTAAGCTGATATATCAACAACCTAATAATTAACATATTAAAATCTGGGAAATAGGACAATTATAAGGTGAAATGGAGCTTCAACCCTGTTAGTTTTTGTGTATTTAACAGAATTGAGTAAGCAGTGAGGTAGCTTTACAGCCCTGAGCAATAGATATTGAACCATTTATAGATGGGGGGAAAAAACCCAAAGCTCAGAAGTTAACATCCCATGAGGAGTGATTATATCTAAGCCAAGTAGAAAATCTGATCTGATTCCCATGCCAGCATATGCTTGCCCTCGATTCTCATATGAATTCTCTCCCCCAAACTATTGGCAATTGATGCCCAAATTATGGCCTTTGATTTGATATTGCTGTCTATAATTTCTATTTTTCCAAATTATAAAAAATTTGTTTGGTGTAAAGGTAATAAATGTTCACAGTGTGAATGTTCAAATACTGGGGTTTGATCTTATGTTGGTGCCATAAATCTAATTTTCAATCTGAAAAGTCAAGAGGCTAGTATAGTAAAATGCCTGCATAACTCTCACCTAGAATTCTCTATTAAAATTTTGCTACAATTTTCTTTGCCTGTCTTCCTCACCTCATTGCCCCCAGTGAATTATCAGTGTTGTGACACTTCTCTAATTATTTAAGTATGTATCTCCTAGGAGCAAAAACTTACAAATTTTCTTAACCTATTCCAATCATATTTTTGTCTCCCACCACCAAATCTGGTGGCTAATTCTTAGTCTTTTTGTACTGTACTTATTAGTGCAGCATGTGACATAGTTGATCTTTGAGTGGCTCAGTACTCATCTTCATATCTCATTCCAGTCCTAGGACTTCAGATATCTAGAAGCAGCTGGTTCCAACCCAGATCTCTTTCCCCTAAATTCCAGGTTCCCCCAAATTTAATTGCCAATTATGCGTTTCAACTTGGATATCTAATTAGTATCTCAAATCTAATGTGATCAAACTCCTGATTTTGTCCTTAAGCCCCTTCTCAGAGTTTTCCATCATCGCAGTGTATGGCAGCTCTATCCTCCCAATTGCTCAGGCCAAAAATGTCATTTTCTTCATTTATTATATGTGCCACATCAGTCAATAAGACCTGTTGACTACTGTCTCATCTCTAGAATCCTATCTGCTTGGTGCCATCAGAGTGGCCTATAAGACCTTACCTGGTATCTTTTTCCACTTTACATGTTCTAGTCTGCTGGCCTCCTTGGTGTTCGTACAGTCATGCTACTGAGAGTGTGTCTCCTGATTAGGAGCATCACCTAGCAACTTGATAGATTGCAAATTCTAGGTTCCTAGACCTACTTAAGCAGCTTTGAGGGTTATGACCCAGGGATCTGTTTTAACAGGCCCTCTAGTTGATTCTTAGACACACTCAAGTTTGAGGAACATACCTATAAAACTTTAGTCTCTTGCCTTTGGACCTTTGACTTGCTATTCTCTTTGGGACAGTTGTGCCTAGATGGCTCACCCCTTCAGGGCTGTGTTCAAATGTAGCTTTATCAGTAGGACTTTCCCTGATCACTCTAGCCCCTGTTCCTCAGCCTCCCCACATTTGCCCTATTTTTCTCTATGTCAAAGTGACCTACATATATATTTAGAGAATATGCTCCATGACAGCAGAGATTTTGTTTTGGTCACCATGCTATATTTCTAGGACCAACTGTGTTTCCCCCAAAATAAGACCTATCCATAAAATAAGACCTAGCAGGATTTCTAAGCATTTGTGCAATATAAGCCCTACCCCAAAAATAACCACAAAAACCACCAAAAATAGCCACACCCATCACCTACCATGGTGATGGGTGTGGCTACACAGCGTATCTGCAGCCCCTGCATTTCCTCACGGAGCAGTAAAGAAGACGTGCAGCCCTTCTCATCTGCCCCATGAGAGATTGAGGCCAATTGTTCTAAAGGAAATAGAGTCGCAAGAAATTCAGGATGGAATTCAGAGTTTGGAGAGTTTGATGATGTTCCAGAAGAAGACAACTATATTTGGATAAATGTAGATTGTTGTACCGTACTTAAAAAAAAAATAACACATCCCCTGAATATAAGACCCTGTCTTATTTTCAGGGAAACCCGATAGTTTAGTGTGTCTTCTTTCCACTTCCCTCATCTTCCTTCTTTTTTTTTTTTTTTTTTTTATTTAGTCTCACTGTGTTGCCCAACCTAAACTGCCTTGTCATCACCATAGCTCACCGCAACCTCGAAGTCTTTAGGATTCAAACTGTTTGAAATAAGATCTGTAAAATACAAGGAACCTCGCTTCTCTTTGAATGGGTCCCGCGAGGGTCGTGCCCAGGCAGGACAAGACACGTTGAGTGCTGTCGCGGAGGTGATAGCTAGGCCGCATTGGGTGTGACCTTGGCTAAGCAGTCGTTCAAGTCCGGCCCTTACCCATTCCCACAATTACGAAGCCTCCCTAGCATGTAAACTGCCTTCGCCTTCAGGCATCTGCCTGCTTAGGTAGGAATGGCTGAGGGCACAGTTGACCACTTGTCAACTGCTTGACACTTCACATCCTTTCACTGAATCCTCTGAGGACCCTGCATTTTAGATGAGCCCTTTTTATTTCATACTGCAACCCAAAGATTTGTTAGATTTTGGTCGATGGCACTCACCAGCACATATGCAGCGAACAAGCTGATAAACGGGGCATGGGTAGCCCAGAAAACCTGAGACTTCTCTAGGACAGCTTGAAGCAATGTTCTATATGCCACTGGGAAGTCAAAGCAACATATTTTATTCTAATGAGACTTTCTATCCAATGACAATTCAAACTTTATTCGATAAAAAAAAAAAGCCTGTATATCTACATAGTAGCACATTAATAGGAAAAAACAGGCTCAAGAGAGGACGTGTTTCCAATTAGCTTTTCTTATGGTCATCTTCTCAGTGAACCCCCTTCAGCTATAATGTACCCCAAAATGATGCTGCCTGCCATAAAAAATAATCACTCTCATTAGTCCTGATTTTGGAAACACAGCATCTCTGAATAATTAAAGAACTGCTGTTCAAATGTAAAAGACCAACTCTATTTAAATAGTATTTTTCATTAGTGGAATCAAGCAAGTGGCCTGCTTGTAAACAGCAAATGACACCTGAACTTCCCTTTCCTGATCCTAAGACCAACAATCAAAAAGGTAAGAGACTGATCCACTGAAAAAACTAAGTAGTGTCCCAAAGTACCACACACAAAACAAAGGCTCTTCTTTTTAGCAGTTTTTAATGAAGGTTGCACATAAGATTATTTTATTCTTGCATCTTCTCAAGTGTTTCTTCCTTGTACTTGCCCTTTTCCTTTCCTACTTGGCGAGATTTCGCTTTCCGCTCAAGGATCTTTTTGCGGTCTTTGTCCAGTTTAAGCCTAGTAATAACCACCTGCAGAAAAGAAAACACATTCTCAAGCTTTAAATAATTACTAAAACAACCCATGGGAAGGCACAATGTTCAATTCTATTTTCTAAATCTTGGGCAGTGGATGCCTAAACAGAAAAAATGATGTATTTATTTAACTTATATTTACTAATGTTCTACCATAAGAGGAGAAAAAGTGGCATCAGTATTTCTTCTCACAGCCTCTCCTGTGCTTTACTATGAAATCTCTCACCTGGGCTAGAGTGCTGTGGTGCCAGCCTAGCTCAACACAACCTCAAATTCCTGGGCTCAAGGGATCCTCCTGCCTTAGCCTCCCGAGTAGCTGGGATTCCAGGCACACACCACCTCGCCCAGCTAATTTTTTTATTTTAGCAGAGATAGGGTCTCAATCTTGCTCAGGCTGGCCCTGAACTCCTGACCTCAGGTGATCCTCCTGCCTCAGCCTCCCAGAGTGCTAGGATTACAGGTGTTTGCCATGGCACCTGGCCAAAATCTGTTTCTTTTTTATCATGAAATGTACCAACTATTCTCTTTCCACCCCAGTTTTACAAGCTAACCAAGTCATATATAAATACATTTTTGTTTCTAAAGTAACTTTAGAATTGTAAGGTTAGAAATTAAATTTAACCTCACAAAACGCTTTCACTTGGTGAGGTCACAGACGATCTTATTCAAACAGTTGAATCCTAAAGACATCCAGATTATGATAAATTTTAGTCTTAAGAAGAAGATGAGGTTGAGCACCACAATAGTCTTAAAAAAAAAAAAAAAAAAAAAGAAGGAAGATGAGGGAAGTGGAAAGAAGACACACTAAACTATCGGGTTTCCCTGAAAATAAGACAGGGTCTTATATTCAGGGGATGTGTTATTTTTTTTTTAAGTACGGTACAACAATCTACATTTATCCAAATATAGTTGTCTTCTTCTGGAACATCATCATAAACTCTCCAAACTCTGAATTCCATCCTGAATTTCTTGCGACTCTATTTCCTTTAGAACAATTGGCCTCAATCTCTCATGGGCAGATGAGAAGGCTGCACGTCTTCTTTACTGCTCCGTGAGGAAATGCAGGGGCTGCAGATACGCTGTGTAGCCACACCCATCACCATGGTAGGTGATGGGTGTGGCTATTTTTGGTGGTTTTGTGGTTATTTTGGGTAGGGCTTATATTGCACAAATGCTTAGAAATCCTGCTAGGTCTTATTTTATGGATAGGTCTTATTTTGGGGGAAACACAGTTGGTCTAGAAATATAGCATGGTGACCAAAACAAAATCTCTGCTGTCATGGAGCATATTCTCTAAATATATATGTAGGTCACTTTGACATAGAGAAAAATAGGGCAAATGTGGGAGGCTGAGGAACAGGGGCTAGAGTGATCAGGGAAAGTCCTACTGATAAAGCTACATTTGAACACAGCCCTGAAGGGGTGAGCCATCTAGGCACAACTGTCCCAAAGAGAATAGCAAGTCAAAGGTCCAAAGGCAAGAGACTAAAGTTTTATAGGTATGTTCCTCAAACTTGAGTGTGTCTAAGAATCAACTAGAGGCCTGTTAAAACAGATCCCTGGGTCATAACCCTCAAAGCTGCTTAAGTAGGTCTAGGAACCTAGAATTTATCTCTCTCTTTTTTTTTTTTTTTTTTTTTTTTTTAAGACTATTGTGGTGCTCAACCTCATCTTCCTTCTTAAGACTAAAATTTATCATAATCTGGATGTCTTTAGGATTCAAACTGTTTGAAATAAGATCTGTACTGTGACCTCACCAAGTGAAAGCGTGTGTGGAGGTTAAATTTAATTTCTAACCTTACAATTCTAAAGTTACTTTAGAAACAAAAATGTATTTATATATGACTTGGTTAGCTTGTAAAACTGGGGTGGAAAGAGAATAGTTGGTACATTTCATGATAAAAAAGAAACAGATTTTGGCCAGGTGCCATGGCAAACACCTGTAATCCTAGCACTCTGGGAGGCTGAGGCAGGAGGATCACCTGAGGTCAGGAGTTCAGGGCCAGCCTGAGCAAGATTGAGACCCTATCTCTGCTAAAAATAAAAAAATTAGCTGGGCGAGGTGGTGTGTGCCTGGAATCCCAGCTACTCGGGAGGCTAAGGCAGGAGGATCCCTTGAGCCCAGGAATTTGAGGTTGCTGTGAGCTAGGCTGGCACCACAGCACTCTAGCCCAGGTGAGAGATTTCATAGTAAAGCACAGGAGAGGCTGTGAGAAGAAATACTGATGCCACTTTTTCTCCTCTTATGGTAGAACATTAGTAAATATAAGTTAAATAAATACATCATTTTTTCCGGTTAAGCAACCAACGCCCAAAAATTAAAAAAAAAAAATGAAAAATGGGCCCTCCCAAGGGGTGGTTTAGTAATTATTTAAAGCTTGAGAATGTGTTTTCTTTTCTGCAGGTGGTTATTACTAGGCTTAAACTGGACAAAGACCGCAAAAAGATCCTTGAGCGGAAAGCGAAATCTCGCCAAGTAGGAAAGGAAAAGGGCAAGTACAAGGAAGAAACACTTGAGAAGATGCAAGAATAAAATAATCTTATGTGCAACCTTCATTAAAAACTGCTAAAAAGAAGAGCCTTTGTTTTGTGTGTGGTACTTTGGGACACTACTTAGTTTTTTCAGTGGATCAGTCTCTTACCTTTTTGATTTGTTGGTCTTAGGATCAGGAAAGGGAAGTTCAGGTGTCATTTGCTGTTTACAAGCAGGCCACTTGCTTGATTCCACTAATGAAAAATACTATTTAAATAGAGTTGGTCTTTTACATTTGAACAGCAGTTCTTTAATTATTCAGAGATGCTGTTTTCCAAAATCAGGACTAATGAGACAGTGATTATTTTTTTATGGCAGGCAGCATCATTTTGGGGTACATTATAGCTGAAGGGGGTTCACTGAGAAGATGACCAATAAGAAAAGCTAATTGGAAACACGTCCTCTCTTGAGCCTGTTTTTTCCTATTAATGTGCTACTATGTAGATATACAGGCTTTTTTTTTTTTATCGAATAAAGTTTGAATTGTCATTGGATAGAAAGTCTCATTTAGAATAAAATATGTTGCTTTGACTTCCCAGTGGCATATAGAACATTGCTTCAAGCTGTCCTAGAGAAGTCTCAGGTTTTCTGGGCTACCCATGCCCCGTTTATCAGCTTGTTCGCTGCATATGTGCTGGGTGAGTGCCATCGACCAAAATCTAACAAATCTTTGGGTTGCAGTATGAAATAAAAAAGGCTCATCTAAAATGCAGGGTCCTCAGAGGATTCAGTGAAAGGATGTGAAGTGTCAAGCAGTTGACAAGTGGTCAACTGTGCCCTCAGCCATTCCTACCTAAGCAGGCAGATGCCTGAAGGCGAAGGCAGTTTACATGCTAGGGAGGCTTCGTAATTGTGGGAATGGGTAAGGGGCCGGACTTGAACGACTGCTTAGCCAAGGTCACACCAATGCCGGCCCTAGCTATCACCTCCGCGACAGCACTCAACGTGTCTTGTCCTGCCTGGGCACGACCCTCGCGGGACCCAGTTCAAAGAGGAAGCGAGGGTTCCTTTGGGTCTGCGGCAGCCAGTCGGGGGGGGCGGGGCTTCCGGCCGGCGCGGAACGACTTCCGGAGGCGGGGGGCGGTGTGGGCTCACGGGTGCTGCGGGCCGCAGGCGCTTTCCTGTCGTCTTCTCGGCCTCCAGCCCCCCTCCACCCCCGACCCAGTTCAATCATTCAGCCCGGAGCTGGCCGCCCTCGGCCGGGTGGGTAGTGCAGACAAGTGAACCAGGCGGTGGGAGCGGAGTCTGCGGAAGTCGGGGGAGGACAGCTACACAAAGGATGCGATGCCGGAACCCGGCTTCAGGAATCAGCGGAAGTTCCTGTGTTGTGTGGAAGGTGCGGGGACACTGTACTAAGTGCTTTATCTGCATTATCATTGGCTTTTCATAGCAATCCATTGTGATGGATACTGGTGGTCTCCTGATTTTATAGATCAGGAAATTGAAGCCCCAGAGACTTTGCCTTAGTCACATAGTAAGTGGCATGGTCAGAAATTGAATTCCCAAGACTAGGCTCAACCATACCGCTGCACTGCCTCGCTGATAACCATATACCTCTAAGTGATGTATTTGACAGATGTCTTTTTAACATCTTTTGTGCTCAGCTCTGTATTCATTTGCCCTCCAAAGGGACACAAGCAGACAGAAACCCCAATCTTTACCTTCTAGGTTGTATTCACCTGAACCAGTCAACTAAAAATGCAAAGTGCTCCAGTGAGTGGCACAGGATATTTAGAGGAGGGAGAAATGGCAATCAACTGGAGTGCTGAATACATCTGGAAGGAGGCTGATGGGAGCTGGCTGTGATTTGGAAGATCAATGGGAAGACGTTCCGGTCGGCAACAGAAAGACTCAGGTGGGTGAGGAAGGAAGGAAACATGACTTGGGAGATGCTTCCAATTTTCGCTAACCAAGCTCAAGCACAGATCACACCAGGAAGCTGGTTGGTTAACGGCCACATTTCTTTCATGTTGCTTTAGAACAGATACTGAAAGCTCAGAAATCTACCAGGATGAGCAGGTGAGGTGAGTACGTTAGGAGGTCAGGTAGGGAGTATGGGAAATAGGAGAGTGCAGTTTCCATCTAACGAAAATTGCTGGCTGGTGCAGTGGCTCACGCCTGTAATCCTAGCACTCTGGGAGGCCGAGGCAGGTGGATTGCTCAAGCTCAGGAGTTCGAAACCAGCCTGAGTGAGACCCCATCTCTACTATAAATAGAAAGGAATTAATTGGCCAACTAATAGATATAGAAAAAACTAGCTGGGCATGGTGGTGCATGCCTATAGTCCTAGCTCCTCGGGAGCTGAGGCAGTAGGTTGCTTGAGCCAGGAGTTTGAGGTTCTGTGAGCTAGGCTGACGCCATGGCACTCACTCTAGCCTGGGCAACAAAGTGAGACTCTGTCTCAAAAAAAAAAAGGAAAAGAAAAATGCTGCTGGGTACAGTGGCTCAGGCCAGTAATCCCAAGTGGCTGCTTGAGTGTGAGAGCAGCCTGGGCAACACAGAGAGAACCCCCCCATCTCTAAAAAATAA